GATTGGAAGACTTGTAGAAGTGAGATGACAAGAGGCACTTCTACCAAAGGCTTTTTTTTTTTTTTTTTTTTTGATGTAAAAGAGACAAGCATATTTGTGTGGGTGCTCAGGGGTCAGAGCAGACTGAATGACTAAAGCTGTGAACAAATGAAAGAGTGGGTGTGAGGAGGATCAGGAAATTAAACAGGGTGAGGTTAATAGGGCAAGTGATGGAGTTACAGAAGGTGTGTAGATAAGATTTTTGTTATTGCCACTTACAGACTTGTAGAAAGGGGAAGTATCAAGAGAATATTTTGTTAATCTTGTCTTTAAAGAAAATGGTGAGAATAGAGGAAAGCAGCAAGGAAGGCTTGACAAGGGTTAGTCAGCAGCAATGAAAAGCTAGCTAGGATTACAGGCGTGCAGATAAGCTGCAGAAGTAGAATTGTTTAGCTGTAAGAAGGCAGAAATGGGGGAGAGAGCAGGCTTGCAGGAGAGGAAGTTAGCTTGATCGCAGGATTTCCGTCAGAGACACTTTGCACTGCAAAAGCAAGCATGAATGAAGCAAGTGCTGAAGGTAAGCTGGTACTGTGGGTAGGTATGACAGTTTATCATGAGAGACAGAAGCAAAAAAAAGTCTGTGGTGGACAAAAGTTGTATGTGTGGTAAGTGGACAGCTAGTAAATTACTACTAAAGCAAATACATTTTTCTGTGCTTAATGTCAAAATGCAAATAAAGCTAAAAGATGTGCAAGCTTCATTTTTAATGAATGCAACTAGTCGGTATTATTCCTTTAGCTTTTCTTCACTGTTACTTTCACCATTCTGTTTTTCTTTCCTTCTTTTTTTAACAGAATGGTTAAGACATTAGTTTCTCCACCTTCTTGCAGTATTGGAGTACAAAGCTCTGAAATAATATTTTTCCTTAAAAAGTTACTTATCCGTTGTTACTAGAATGCAAAAGCACCTGCAGCCACAATCTTTCAGTGTCGTTATATTCCATGCCAGCTAAAAATAAGTGAGATAACTAAGGCTTGTTAAACCGCTTAACAGATAAGATACAGCAGCAAAGCTACGCCCAGAGAAGTATTCAGAAATGTAATGGTTCATTACATGGTAATTGTAATTTTACTTCTTTTTGTTTCTTTTCTTAAAACCACATCCCTGGCCTACAGAAGTTAGGGAAGGTGCTTCAGACCAGCCTTTCAGTTACAGAAATATTTTTTCAAGCACTATAAAGATAATATACATAAGATAATGATATTAACACAGGGTTGTAAGGTCAGGTTTATGGAATCCAAGGCTTTAGAAGAAACCTTTGAGATTCTACTACTGTACAAAGATACGTCTTTGTTAGGGAACACATAACATTATTTCCTCTTAACATGTGGGGCCACTTTAAATTTGTACGTCTGCATTATTAAACCATCGTGGGAGCGTAGCAGGAGGAAACCCGGGGTAATTGGCTGCAGCTCCAGATGCAGCCGCCCGCTCATTGGAGAGCGGAGGATTCTCCGAGGTACTAAAATTAGACAATCTCCGCCCTCCAGAAATGCTTCTGGAAACAGCGAGGAGGAAAAATTCTGACACAGACCGAGGGCCCGTGGTGGGGAGTGAAGTGCACAGGACCCTGCTCCTGGCGAAACTGCAGCGTATAAACATGCATAGAAAGACACTTTTTTTTTTTTTCAATCTTGGTTAGCTGAAAAAAAATGTACACAATAAAGAAATTGCAAGAGATTAATGTTAGCAGTGTTTTACATGGATATTAAATTCAACATTTCTTGTGTCATAATAATTTTGAGGTATTCATCCAGGCTGAGGAAGCCTGCTGAATCTAAGCTGGGCTGTCAGACTTGTGCTCATTGACTTTGAAAAGAAACGTCTCTTGCCAAATTAACTCTGAACTAAAATAAAAAACTGGTGAACTCTATCAGCTTTTTTTTTTTTTAATAAAATCTGTTTATCCATTATCTCTGTGTAGTCACAGTGTTTACAATGTCTTCAAATTAAATATTGGATAAAATATCTCTGTTAAAGAAACAAACACCATGTGCCTGTATCAGTGAAGGAAAGTCTGTAGCTGAATTACTCAGTCTTGTGCACTTGGAACCTTTATTTTTTAAGGTATGTGAATAAAAACTTCAGTCTTTGATTTTTAAACATATTCCAAACCGGCTGCAAGGAAATAATTGCATAGTTTTGTTTCTCATTTCCATTTTTACATTACTCATGAAAAAGATAAAGGCAAAGTGGATTTTTCTTACACTAAAACCAGCTTTTGCAGTAAATGTGCTATTTGCTCTGCTAACCAGGGTACACAGTGTCAGCATCTGTGGCTCTTAAAGTGGGTTTTTTTTGTCTTTTCTCCTTTGCATCTACTTTCAATCTGATTTCATTAAAAAATTGAAGCCTGTATACCTGTGTTTTCTCTCCACCCCTTTGTCAGTGTTGCCTCAAGGACTCGAATGCGATGGCCAGTTTCAGCCGCATCTGCCAGCAGGCCAGAGGTCTTCACAGCACCTCGGCTCCCACGGTTTTTGAGAAATCGGTAGTAAGAGGGGACGAGGCCCAAATGAGAGGAGGCACGGCTGCCGAGCGAGCTCCGTAGTTATCAGTGCTGTTCGCCGGTCCACACCCCGATAGTGCCGGGCCAGCTGGCAGGCGTTCAGCCCGGAGAGCCGGCCGCAGCACGCACGGCCCTGTCTGGGGTAAACAGGGCGGACGGGGAGGCGATACCGGGAGCCTGAGGCCACAGCACCCAGCACTTCGGCTTCCAGGTCGCGGGCTGGGCTACGGCACGGAAGATCACGTCGGACGGATGATGGCTGTACTGTAATTGCTCCGAGCGGGAGCGGCCCTGGAGAGCCGGGGAAACAAGGAGTGTGCAGGGAGCCGAGGGTATTGGCACGATGGTGGCAAAATCTGGTAAAAATCCCCAGGGAACGCACCTTCCCCAGCTCTGTTTACAGCTCACCTCATGGTTTAACTCGGAAAACAGTGACCATTTCTTACTCATTGCATGTTTGTTTTTGTGATAAAAGTGAAGTAGCACTGGATAGACACTGCAATTCAATCAAAAATGCTGAAAAACAGTATTAGGGAGCTGTAGATTCAGGTTAGTACAGCTGGTATGCTGGAAGGCTGCGTGCCGTAAGCTCCCGATCCCGCTGACGATGATCAGGCACGTGAACAGAAAACCTCGTACATGCTCCCACAACAAATATTGGTATTTAAACAACCTGAAGAAGGGCTTCTGTGCTTATTCTTTTTTCCAGTTACCTCAGTTTAGGAACCTCTGCTGTGAGATCATGCCTCCCTCAGCAGTCCCGAGTGCGAGGTAAAACCGACATAAAGCTTTTATTGTCACGGAGAAATGAGATTTTTGATAGCCCCCCTCCACATCACGCTGCTCCCTTCCTTCTTCTCGTACCACATGAGGTGCCCACAAACAGGCAGATGTGGTCCTCGGTTATTTGCCCCGAGACTGCGGCTGTCCCGGGCTGCGAGGCGCGTTCCGAAGGCGGCGGCCTCTCGCGGCCAGCACAGCCCC